TTTTTATTTATTTTTCAGTTGCACAAAGAATTCATTAATACACTTGGAAGCAAATTCTAAACATAAATAAGAATTTTACCTGGATATATGTTAGTCAGGACATTTAAACATTGAACATAGGCTGGATGTGATGCATATACCTGTAACCTTAACAATTCTGGAGTGGATACAGAAGGATCATGGTTTGAGGTCAGCTGGGATAAAGTTGTTGAGATCAAAGCAAAAGCAGTGGAGGCATGACTTGAGTGGCAGAAAGCTTGCCTAGCAAGTGACAGAGTTCACTCTGCAGTATGGCAAATATAAACAAATAATCCCCCCTCAAAAAATCATAACACTACATTACTACTGTCTCACATGATCGATTTTACAGTAATTACTCAATACTCTATGGCAGGCTTTTGAAGTTTTCCTGAGTGTTCAAGAAAGTCTTTTTAAAATCAGTGGTTCAAATATGGGTTAAACTAATTGCACATACTGCATTTGATTGGTATGTCTCAAGTTTTATACATTATTTTCTTTTGGAAGTTTTTTTAGTCCCATGTTTTATTTTGTGTCATGGATTTGTTGAAGAAACTGGCTTATGTGTTCTTTTTATTGTTATTATAAAGGTGATGTACATAGTATGTATCCTTTTTGTAAAAATATAATTTTATTGTTGTTATTAAGGTGTTGTGCAGAAGGGTTACTATTCCATAAGTCAGGTAATGAGTACATTTCCTTTACTTTTCCCCCAGTTTCCTCCTCCCATTCCTTTCCACAAGTTACATAGTTCATTTTCTCTATGGTGTATACTGAGTATCATGATTGAATTTGTTTACCCCTTTTTCCTCACTTACTGTGCTTCCACTTTACTCCCTCTAAAAAACTCTAAAAGCAAAAATAAATATCACCCCCAGCAATAACAACAAACCCCCCATAATTTTAGTTCCTGGAATTTGTTTTGATAAATGGTATTTTAAATATTCAGTTATTTGTCCTTTTTTTTTTCTTTCTTTTTTGGTCAGTTATGGGTCTTGAACTCTGGCCTGGGTGTTGTTCCTGAGCTCTGTAGCTCAAGGCTAATGCTCTACCACTTGAACCACAGCATCACTTCTGGTTTCCTGGTGGTTAACTGGAGATCAGAATCTCACGGACTTTCCTGCCCGGGCTGGCTTTGAACCGCGATCCTCAGATCTCAGCCTCCTGAGTAGCTAGGATTACAGGCGTGAGCCACCAGTGCCCGGCTAAGAGTATATTTCTTTCTTTAAAATTTTATAATTGTGGGGCTGGGAAGGTGGCTCAGTGGTAGAGTGCTTGCCTTGCATGCATGAGACCTTGGGTTCCATTCTTTAGCACCACATAAACAGAAAAGGCCGGAAGTGGCACTGTGGCTTAAGTGGTAGAGTGCTAGCCTTGAGCTGAAGAGCTCAGGGACAGCACCCAGGCCTAGAGTTCAAGCCTCACGACAGACCAAAAAACAAACAAAAAACCAAAAAAAACCCAAAAAATAAATTATTATAAATGTGATGTGTAGAGGAGTCACAGTTATATAAGTCAGCTAGAGTACATTTCTTTTGGACAATGTTGCCCCTTTCCTCCCAGTTTTTTCTTCCCATTCTAACCCACAGTTCATTTTTAGCATAGTGTCTAGTGAGTACCCCTCTGTATCCCTTCTTATATGTCCTTTTGAATTTCCTACTTTGTGGACTTGGCTGGGCTGACTTTTCTTCTTTCCTTCCTTCCTTCCTTCCTTCCTTCCTTCCTTCCTTCCTTCCTTCCGTCCTTCCTTCCGTCCTTCTTTTCCCTTCCCTTCCCTTCCCTTCCCCTTTCTCTTTTCTTTTCTTTTCTTTTCTTTTTGTTTGCCAGTCCTGGGGCTTGAACTCAGGGCCTGGCTTTTTCCCTGAGCTTCTGTGTGCTCAAGGCTAGCACTCTACCACTTGAGTCATAGAGATACTTCTAGCTTTTACTGTTTATGTGGTACTGAGGAATCAAACTCATGCATGCTAGGGAAGCACTTTACCACTAAACCACATTCCCAGCCCTTGCCTGACTTTTTCACAGAGATTTTGATTAATATAATCCTATACCTTGTGTCTCCTACATCCAAATAGTCATGTATGAAGATAAATATGTTTTTAAGATGTTTGTTATAAGAATTTCACCTTTAAAAGAAACCCTATTTTGCAAATAAGCTTATACTTCACACAGAAAACATTGACCAGAAATGTGGAACAAATTTTATTTTAGAAGTTATAACCTATGGCTTTTTAAAACATGCCTTCCCCGCTAAAGTTACTGGTTGTACATTCGCAAGGCAAGGCAAATGAGAAGGTAGTTCAGGCTATAAGTCATGTTTATTTCAACAAGCTGCTGGAGAAGAGCCACATTATAGAAATGTAATGCCCACAGATTTAAGTAAAAAGAAATCAGTAATTTTTAAGTCATTTCCCTAGGGTATAATCTCTAGTAGTGGACAGGAAACAACCCTATCATAGTTTTCAAGGGACAAAGCCTTTTGTGGAAACTGTATATTCTTATGAGGTAGAGGGAAGATGTTTCCAAGTATCTGATAGAATTATTCAGCAGCCTTGCTGGGAAATACTTTGGAGGCAATGCCTGTGATTAATGGGCATGATTAATGATTGGAGGTAGGGAATCTTTTTTTTTTCTGCCAAGGGCCACTTGGATATTTTAATTATGTCATTTGAGGTTCACATAAAATTATCAGTACAGGCAAACTACAGATATCCATCCATAGGAAGTTGAAGAAAAGCATGTAAATTTGTCCCATCATGCACCAAATGATTTATTGGGTCTTATGGCCCTAGGGCTAGACATTCCCCATCCTGCATTCCTGGACTATATGTCACTTCATATGGAAAAGGAGACTACAGTGTGCAGAAAAAGGAGACTTCAGTAAGTGGGACATGCCTTATGTAGCCATTGTTGTGAATGTGTCCCTCAGAGTTCATGTGGTAGAAATGTAATCCCAGTTGCAGTAGCGTTAAGAGATAGTGTTGTTAAGTGATTAGATCCAGAGGACAGATTAATACTACTATTAGGTCTGATTCTTGATAAAAGGAAGGCTTTGGTGTCCTTCCCTTCTCTTGGATATCCTCACCTCAGACTTCTGGACTTTCCCAGAACTATAAGAAATCACCATTGGTTCTTTTTTTTTTTTGGGTCCAACTCTGGGCCTGGGCACTGTCCCTCAGCTCTTCAGCTCAAGGCTAGCGCTCTACCACTTGAGCCACAGCGCCACTTCTGGCTTTTTTCTTTTTGCTTATGTGGTGCTGAGGAATCGAACCCAGGGCCTCAGGCATGCAAGGCAAGCGCTCTACCACTGAGCCACCTTCCCAGCCCCACCATTGGTTCTTTATAAACTACTCAGTCTCAGGTGTTCTATTAAAGCAGTACAAAATAAGCAGATAATCCTGGATTATCACTAGAGGCCAAGATCAATCACGGGTCATTAAGAGACTTGGCAAAAACTTTACTAAATGAAGCAAGCCAGACCCAAAGAAACAGGCTACATTGTTTCTTTCATTTGTAATAAGTAGAATGTGCCTATAAATCTACAAGTAAACCTAATGGATAGTAAAAGACAAGTAACTACACCTAGACATGATTAATTAAACAGCAGTCTAAACATTCACATAGTGAGAACAAAGGAGGATATTCTTAGGAGAGAATTCCAAGGGCTCAATAGCTATGTGCATATGATCATATAAAATGCTGCTATCATATAAGATGCTATTCCAAGAAATGGAAGCAAGAGGTTTTTTTTTTTGGGGGGGGTTTGGTCGTGGGGCCTGAACTCTAGGCCTGGGCGATGTCCCTCAGCCCTTCAGCTCAAGGCTAGCGCTCTACCACTTGAGCCACAGTGCCTCTTCTGGCTTTTTTCTTTCTGCTTATGTGGTGCTCAGGAATCGAACCCAGGGCCTCAGGCATACAAGGCAAGCGCTCTACCACTGAGCTACCTTCCCAGCCCCACAAGAGATTTTTTTTTGTCGGTCGTGGGGCTTGAACTCTGGGCCTGGGCGCTGTCCCTGAGCTCTTCAGCTCAAGGCGAGTGCTCTACCACTTGAGCTACAGCGCCACTTCCGGTTTTCTGGTGGTTTATTGGAGATATGAGTCTCACGGTCTCTCCTGCCCAGGCTGGCTTTGAACCACAATCCTCAGATCTCAGCCTCCTGAATAGCTAGGATTACAGGCGTGAGCCACCAGCGCCCGGCTGAGATTTTTTTTTTTTAATTGTACTGTTTGCAGTTCTTTTGTTGTTTAGGTTTTGTTTTTGTTTTTGCTTTTTGTTGGTCTTGGGGCTTGAACTCTGGGCCTCGGCACTGTCCCTGAGCTCTTCAGCTCAAAGTGAGTGCTCTACAACTTTAGCCACAGCACCACTTCTTGTTTTCTGGTGGTTATTTGGAGATAATAGTCTCACAGACTTTACTGGCTGGGCTGGCTTTGAACCACAATCCTCAGATCTCAGCTTCCTGAGTAGCTAGGATTATAGGTGTGAGCCACCAGTGCCTGGCTGTGGTTCTTTTTTTTTTTTTTCCTTTTTCCTTTGGTTTATTCCCTCTGTTTTTGGTTTCTATACCCTTTGTTTTGTATATAAGTTGATCCCATTGGGGAGGGGAAGGGGAAGCACAGAAACTTGGGACAAAGGGTGAACCAACTGAGCAGTGAAACTCATAGACACTATTTTGGACATGAACTATACAACTTGGAGCGTGGGGAGAGAAATCAGGAGGGGAGAATCTGGGAAAGAATGAGGGAGAGGTGACACTGTTCAAAAGGAAATGTACTCATTACCTGACTTTTGTAACTGTCACTGCTCTGTATACCACCTTGACAATAAATTTTTAAAAAAGACTCACCCAGATTAAAAAAAAATATGTAGGAATGGCCAGACATAGAGTGGGACATGCTTGTAGTCCCAGAATTTGGGACTTCCCAATGAGAATGGAGGATGGACAAAGACAAATCATTGGACTGATAATACTTGTCTTCACATTTAGGTGGTGGTTGAACTGGGAAAATTTGAAAGGAAGAAGTTAAAAACTTTTCAAGATGAGCATAAAACTTTGGAAGAAGAATTTAAGCATCTTGATCCATTCATTAAGAAAGAAGCACTGAGCATGGATAAGAAGAACACATGGGAAGTCAAGAGCTACCCCATCATACTCTGGTGGTCCCCCCTGACTGGGGAGACTGGAAGGCTTGGCCAGTGTGGGGCAGATAACTGTTTCTTCACCATCAACCGCACCTACCAGCATCATCCCATGACCAAAGCTTTCCTCTTCTATGGTAAGCAGGGCTTTTGCCTTTCTTCTTTTGTTCCTTCCTCAGGGCTAAGCTAGGGCCTGAGCACTTGGCAAAAACCCAAGTCAAGCTAGACAACATAAACGTGGTTGGCTGGGTCACTTGGTCTTTCTGAAGAGCAAACTAGATTGTGTTTAGTTAGGTATTGAGCCTGCTGACTTTATACAAGTACGTGAGTCTTACCTACACTGCTGGCATCCAGTCAGAATGGCACTTGGGATAGAGGCAGGAGGTTATTATTGTGATAGATGCTTAATTGGCCATAAGTCAAGCCTGGTGTTCTTTACTTTGATGTCAGATTAATCTGAAGTAAAAATAACAAGATTGTTCAGCATCAGCTTCCATGATGAGGTTGCCATTTATCAATTTTGAGTCCAAACTCAGGGCCTATCACTTGAACCACATCTTCAGCCTTTTTTGTGTGAGTTTATCTTTGAGATAATGTCTGGCCTCAGAGTGTGATCCTCCTTTTATCTGCTCCTGAGTAGCTGAGATTGTAGAAGTGTTTTATTTTATTAATTTTAATTGTTATCATAAAGGTACGGTACAGAGTGGTTGTAATTATGTAAGTCAGGGAACGAGTACATTTCCTTATGGACTGTGTCACTCCTTCCTTCACTCCCCATCCAACAAATTGTATAGCTCATTTTCCACAGAGTGTCTAGTGAGCATAAACTTAATTTTCAGATAATAGTCTTACTTTTATCCACATTACACTTTTTATATTCACATTGGTTTTATTCCTTGATACTCCTCTCTCTGACCTCCCAACATAGCTGGGATTACAGGCATGTACTACTCTAAATTCTTTTTAAAAAAATTTACCTCATGATTAAAAAATTATTTTATTGTTATTAGCATATATTAGTATATAAGAGGATTTCATTGTATGTCTTTATATGCATACAGTGTACTCTGATCAGATTCTTTCACTCTTTTTCACTCTCCTTCCTCCCTTAAGACAATTTCAACAGGTTTCATTGTTGTATTTTCATACTTGTATATAAAATACTTCTACTATATTCATCCTTCTTCACCCTCTTCATTCACCTTCCCCTCCATACCCATAATACTCCAGCAGAATCTGTTCTGTGCTGATACTGGAACTTGAACTCAGGCCCTTAACACTCTCGCCTAGCATTTTTGCTGAAGAGATACTGTTTTACACTTCTACCACTTTTGACTTTTTGCTGGTTAATTGGAGATAAAAACCTCATGGACTTTGCCTGAACTAGTAATTGAACTGTAATTTGAACTGTAATCCTCATATTTCAGCCTCCTAAGTAGCTAAGTCGATGTCATTTTAATTTGCTTTTTGTACATGGCCAGGAATTCTAAATATTTCTTCTTGCATTTATTGGTCATTTGTACTTCTTTGAGATTATATCTCAGTTCATTGGCCTATTTATTAATTGGGTTGTTGATTCTTTGGGAGCTTAGTTTTTACTGCTCTCTGTATATTTTGTTATTAATCCCTTGTCAATTATGCATCTGGCATACACACACACACACACACACACACACACACACACGCACACACACATTTTTGTCCATTGTGGGGCTTGAACTCTGGGCCTGAGCACTGTCTCTGAGCTCGTCTCTTCAGCTCAAGGTGAGTGCTCTACCACTTGAGCTATAGCACCATAGCACCACTTCTTGTTTTTTGGTGGTTTATTGGAAATAAGAGTCTCCTGGACTTTCTGCTTGGGCTAGCTTTGAACCGCAATCCTCAGATCTCAGCCTTCTGAGTAGCTAGGATGATGGATGTGAGCCATTGGCTGGCAAAGATTTTGTTTCATTCTGTAGGCTCTCTTCAGTCTACTGATTACTTCCTGTGAAGAAGTTTTTTAGTTTGATGTGATCACGTTGGTCAGTCCTTGCTGGGCTAGTGGAGTTCTATTTAGGAAGTCAGTTGCCTATTTGTATATCTTCCAATGTTTTCAAAGAAGAAGTTTTTTAGTTTGATGTGATCACGTTGGTCAGTCCTTGCTGGGCTAGTGGAGTTCTATTCAGGAAGTCAGTTGCCTATTTGTATATCTTCCAATGTTTTCAAACTTCCAGGTCTTCTGTTAACGTTTTGATCCATTTTGAATAGATTTTAGTACAGAGCAAGAAACAGGGGATCTAGTATCAGTCTTTTACATGTAGATCTCTAGTTTTCCCAGCACTCTTTGTGAAGAGGCTATCTTTTTCTCCAACATATATTTATGGCATCTTTATAAAAAATGAGCTGCCTATAGCTATGTGAGCTTATTCTGGATCTTTTGTTCCATTGGTCTGTGTTGCTGTCTTTGTGCCACTACCAAGCTGTTTTTTGTTACCCAATAGTTGAAAGTCAGGTGTTGTGATAGTGTAGATTTTTAATTTTATTATTGTATTTTATTTTATTAGTATATACTTTTGCTCAGGATTATTTCAGCTATTCAAGACCTTTTGTACTTCCATATTCATTTTAGAATTTCTTTTTCTTTTTGCTGGTCCTGGGGCTTGAAATCCGGGGCTGGGTGCTATCCCTGAGCTCCTTTTGCTCAAGGCTAGAGCTCTACCACTTGAGCCACAGTGTCATATCTGGCCTTTTCTGTGATTAATTGGAGATAAGAGTCTCAAGCACTTTCCTGACCTGGCTGACTTTGAATTCTGATCCTCAGAGACTCAGTCTCCTGTATAGCTAGGATTACACGTGTTAGCCACTGGCACCCAGTTTTGGATTTACTTTTCTACCTCTGTGAAGAATGTCATTGTAATTTTGATGGAGATTGTACTGAATATATAGACTGCTTTTGGTGGTGTAGTCATTTTTATGGTATTGGTTTTGCTAGTCCATGAGCATGGGGTTTCTTTCCATCTTCTACTGTCTTCTTCAGTTTCTGTCTTCAGTGATTTACACTTTTTCTTGTAGAGATTCTTCATTTCCTTAGTAAAATGTATTTCTAGGCACTTTTTATTTTATTTTAGTGTTAGTACTGGGTACTGTCCCTTAGCTTTCTCACTCTACCACTTCAGGTACAGTGCCACTTCTAGTTGTTTGGTCATTGATCGGTGATAAGAGTGATGGATTTTCCTGCCCAGGTTGCCTTTGAGTCACGATCCTCCAATCTCAGTTTCTAGAGTAGCTAGGATTATAAGCATGAGCCACTGGAGCCTGGCTATTTATTTTGTGGCTATTGTGAATAGAATTGCTTTCCTGGTTTCTTTCCAAGTCTGTTCATTGTTGGTATACATGGAAAAGCTATGTATATTGATTTTTGTATATTGATTTTGTATCCTGGTATTTTACTTAGTCTTATCAGTTCATGAGGCTGATAATCTGTCACCAAGCCTAGGTAGGTGTAGAGGGTGAGTGTCCCTTACTAAAATGCTTGCCACTAGAAGTGTTTCATTCACATAATTACCATTCACAGCTTGGGTTGTTATAGTGATGCTAATTATTATTGTTTTGTTAGTATTACTTTTTTTCTTTTGAGTTGGTCAGATTTCCCAGCAATGATCCTTTCAGTTTTTTTGTTTTTTTTTTGGGTCCGGTTGTAGGGCCTGAACTCTGGGCTGGGCGCTGTCCCTCAGCTCTTCAGCTCAAGGCTAGCGCTCTACCGCTTGAGCCACAGCACCACTTCCGGCTTTTTTCTTTTTGCTTATGTGGTGCTGAGGAATCAAACCCAGGGCCTCATGCATGCAAGGCAAGCTCTCTACCACTGAGCCACCTTCCCAGCCCCAATATTATCTAATTTTTAAAAATTATCTTTGAGTAGTTGTACAAAGAGGTTTCAATTCAGCATGTCAGTTTGTGAATACAATGCATCGTACTCAGTGTCTCTCCTTTTGTCATTCTCCCTTATCTCTCCCAACCCCACCAATCCCTCCACTTTACTGGTTATATTTTCACACACACACACACACACACACACACACACATTTAATATTATGATTACATTTGCCCACTCTTCCTCTTTTGAACAGTCCTCCTTTTTTTTTTTTGATGCCAGTCCTGGGGCTTGAACTCAGGGCCTGGACAATGTACCTGAGCATTTTGCTCAAGGTTAGCATTCTATTACTTGAGCCATAGCTCCACTCCTGGCTTTGTTAGTAGATAAACAGAGACAAGAGTCTCATGGACTTTAATGCCCCATCTGGCTTTGAACCACTATCCTCATATCCCAGACTCCTGAGTAGATAGTATTATAGGTGTGAGCCACTGGTGCCTGGCTGAACAATCCTTTTTTGTTTGTTCCCATAGTCACCTTACTTTCAGGCAACTTCTAGGTAGACCAGGTTGCTCTTGGCCTCCCCCACTGTGAGTATTAGTGTCATCCTTTTTGAATTCTGAGAGGGCAATAGATCTCATTCATTTACTTTCCATAATGGATTCAAACTTCAACTATTACCTTAGTGAATTGTCAGTCCACTACTTTTAACTCTGAACTTATGTTTTTTCTTTATTTGGCAAGAGTCAAATAGGAACTGACTCTTGTAACTCTTAGAAAAGAGAAGAAAATGTACTCGAGCGACCTTCGAGTGTACATCTACAGCATGGATGCCACACTACATGCATACCTGACATTGCACTATGGAACGTCAGGAGGGTGCTGTGGGGACTGTGGTGCTACTGTCTTTGGTGTAACAGTTGGATCTTAGCCACATCATCTATATCAGCTACAGTTATTACTATGAGGGAAAGGCTATCATATCATCTTATGCCTAACAGGAAGCAGGCACATTCACAGTGGTCACCCAGGTGTCAGGGAACTTGGTGGCAGAGTGGAAAAATGAAAACATTGGTTCAGGGTTTGATCTTTATAATAACAGTTGTGCTGAGTCTTGTTGCTCACTCATGTAATATGGAGTGTGTGTCATTCTTTCAAGTTGGGTTGAATTACCTTCTTGAGAAAATTTCTGCAAGTGATACTACAATGATAAAGAATTGACTTAAACTTCTTTGTCATCCAAATTTCTAAAGCTCAAGCATTTATGAGAATCCTAGTTTTGCTGAT